GTCATGCATCTGCTGATGCATGATAAAGTGCCATTGGCTTTTCTGATGGCTTCGTCACACTGCCGACTCATGTTCATCTTGGAGTCCACTAGGACTCCAAGATCCCTTTCCGCTTCCGTGCCACCCAGCAGGTCATTTCCTAGGCTGTAGGTGTGCTGGACATTTTTCCTCCCTAGGTGCAGCACTTTGCATTTCTCCTTGTTGAACTGCATGCACCACAGTTGCAGCAGACACGTGGCCAGGAGTGAAACCCAGTAGCTTGGAGAGCAGCATCTGGCTGGTAAGTCTGTTGGGGGGAAGGAGTTTGGGGGGTGCAGATCGAGGCCCTCATGGTGAGGGAAGGAGTGGTGCTGAGGCTGGTGTAGGGGCAGGTGCTGCACAGCTGGGGCGTGGCGCAGGGTCAGGATGTGGGATGGAGCCATGGCTTGCTTGGGGAGTGGGAGGGGGCAGCACCTACAGCTGCGTGCACTCCTGGGGGAAGGCATGTGCCACCTGGATCTGTGCATGGGGCAAGGGTGGGCTGCCTCTGTGGGCTGGAGACAGGCTGCGCTGGGCTCTTCCATTTTTGATATCAGATGAAAAAAGTAGAAAGAAGTGATAAACCCTGTCAGAAACAAAGATACTGTCATCCTAACCGATAAATCACAGATCCCCCAGGAAACTGTTCTCTTGCTATTTAAAATCAATTTGCAGATTGGATAAAAATGGTAATATTCAAGGAGTGTACATCTGTTGCCGTCATCATAGCAGAGAGCAGAAAGGAGGATGTCATGGCGGGTGTCTGCTACAGGCTACCAAACCAAGAGGAGTTTAGAGATTAGGAGGAACTTTCTGACTACAAGGGTAGGCATGCATTGGAACAGGCTACCCAGAAATATTATGCAATCTTCATCTTGCTAAGTTTTCAAGAGGTTAGGTAGACACTTGGCTGGGATGGTTCAGTCAGGGATGATGCCACATGGAACAGGAGGCTGGTTCAGTTGGCTTTGTGAGGTCGCTTCTAGCCCTACTTTCCTATGATCCAAGGATCCTATTCTGCTATGCAGACCATGGAAAAGAGAGCTGTGGTCTTCTGTTTTGGAAAATGGAGTATGAATGCATTTAGTTTATGAAGTACCCTGAAAGTAAATAAAGACACAATTTACTAGAAGCAACCCACTGATGGGCATTGGAATGGTCTTAATGGGAATCTTAGCATTTGCACAGATATCACCTTCAGCAAGACAGTGAACAATGGATGCTACAGAATCTCATGGAACAGTTTTAAGTAAAGCTGTGCTGACTAAAAATGTTTTACTGATCTTCCAGTGTCAGTCCCAATGTTAGCAACTGTCATGCCACAAATTCACAGGACTAGCAGGTGAGGCAGGTTTCACAGATTCACACAGTATGCTATACATTTATTCAGGTAAGTGACACTCAGATGGGTCAATTCAGCTAATTTTTATTTACTAGCAAAACAGCTCCTGTATTTGCCACATTATATTTTACAAAAAATTGAGGCTAGCATTGCTCATCTTAGAACTTTTGTTTAATCACAGATAGTCTTTTTGTAAGATCCTTCATACTGGAAACTGCACAGGACCACTAATAGTTTCCACTTGAGAATCCAATATCTCCTTATATGTTTAGGTAATACAACCATAAGTTTACTTATACCTACATGTGAACCGTTTGAAAAAAACCCACTACAGGCACTCCTCACTTAACGACCAAGTTCCGTTCCTGCAACTAGGTCGTTAAGCGAATTGGTCGATAAGCGAGGAGCCGCCCCTTGATACTGCGTGCCTTGGCTTGAGCCGCCGCGCTGGCGTTTCCACGACCAAAGTTCTCGTACTTACGACTAGTTCTCGCTGGCTGTAAGTCCGCGCGGTCGTTAAACAGGTAGGTTGTTAAGTGAGGAGTACCTGTATTTCCATTTTGTATAGTTTAAGAAGATAAAATGGCATGAAATTGAAGCAGCATGGGTTTTTAGCCACCCTCAATTTCATCTACCTTAGATTTCCATATTCTTTGTAGTTCAAAAAGAACTTTAGAGGAGCTCCAAAGCTGGCACCTGAAGTAGGAAGTTGATTTGCAATGGCTTTAGTGAGAAGCCAAAACTTATTATGTACTTCATCTTATTTTCAAAATCCTTACTGTAAAAAGAATAACTTTATTTAGCAACGGAGTCCAAAACGGACATCGCAAGATATATATAAACGTAATGTCTGAACCAATGTTGATGAATTATGATGCTTTCAGCAAAGACATTTCCTTGATTATGAGATGTTACCCTCCACCCATTTAAGCCAAAACAATGCAAGGCTGATGATAATTACAGCACTTTTATCTATTTGAAGAGACTTTTCAAAAATTAACAGCACAATAAAAAATACAAAACATATAAAATATGTCTATACTGAAATGGCATAAAGATTTGATGAAACAACAAAACCCAGGACCAGGCTTGGACTTTACCAGTGCATCTTTACCTCTTGACATAATGAGATAATTTATGACAGTAAATTAACACCAGACACGGTTCTATGACCTCTGAAGTACTGATACAGTTATGGACAGCAACAAATTCTTCCTCAACCTTTGGTTTTGACTGTAAGATATAGAATTTTATACCGATGTCCAACTGAAACTATACATATGTATAACTTTAATTTTTATACTTAAGCATATTTATACTTCACATCTTTACAAAAAATTTTGTGATGTCACTTCCATACTTTGAAGCTAACGAATGTCTCTTTATCTGGCTTCTTTCCTTGGCTTGTTTTGCAGTTCTCTGAAAAGGGAAAAAAAAAAAAAGTCTGTACTCGATACTTCAACTCGCTTAGCAACAGCATTCCACATTTGAGTTGATCTAAATCAGTTAAAGGCCTCAAGTTTGACCAAAGAGGGTTGAAACCACTTATAACACTATTTAATAACATTTCAAAGTTCTGAACTAATCTTTAGGCATGCTCATCCTTTGAGCTACTTAGCACATCAAAAAACCAACACCGCTCTTTTTTTTTTTAAATTAAGAGATGAGAACCAAAGTAGTGTCACACTGGGTCAGATCAATGGTCTCTCTAGCCCAGTATCTGGTCTCTGGCGGTGGCAGCAGTAGATGTTAGAGGTGCGCATGTGAATAGGATACAGAGCTCTAGAGATCTATCCCGTCAGACCCTCCCTTTCATCTACCATCATTAGTTTAGGGATGTCAGAGGATGCATCCCTGAAAGTTCTGTTTAATAGCTAATAATTACTATCATTCATGAATACGTCTATTCCTTTTTCGAACCTGGCTATTCTGTCTGCTTCTACAACCGCCTGTGGTAACAAGTCATCACCAAGTCATAGTACCTTATAGAGTTTGTGCCCTGGGGCACCAGAATGGAGGCAGAAGGGCTCGAGTCTCCGGCTCTGTGGGACAGGGCAGCAGCAGGATGATGCTGGGAGAGGATGTGTCACTGCCAAGAACCAAGTTACCTCGTCCCTGGCCCAGCAAACACTGCAATTTTGTATGGCAAGGATCCAAAGCTCCTAATTTAGCAGCTTCAGGGCCAGGGAGTTTTAACTTGGCTCTTGGTGGCAACCTTGTCAGAGGCTTGAGCTCCTTTGCCTCCGTTCCAGCCACCCCTTTACTGGGCAGCCAGGGCTCACATGCCACACACAGTGGCTGCCCGCAGCACACATGCCACCCCTGTTCTACTGTATTGCAGTGTCTGGCTTAGAATTAAAAAGAAAAAAGTAAAATTAAAAGGATTGCTTGTGAACATCTTAAAGAAGTGTGGAAAGCCACTGCCGTGCACTCGAGCTACATGAGGGGTGCCCTGCTGTGTCTGGGGGCACCTGGCACAGATGGTTTGGCAAGGGGAAATGATGGGTCTGGTCTCATTTTGGGCTCCCTGGACTTGGAGCTTGCTGTGAGCATGCAGGTCCTGGTCTGGGGCTGCCAGGCTGGGGTTTGCACTGAACCTGTTGATCTGCTCAGCTGCTCCACAGGGTACTCGGCTCAGCTGGAGGGGCCGGGTGGAAACAGCCCTACGCTTCTGGGCCAGAGGTGGCAGGTGCAGGACACAACTGCACCAGTTGGCTGGGTCCAGGCAGAGATGCAACTACCAAGTTCTTCACCCTGGGCAACATCCCTCTGTGCCCTGCCGGCAGGGGAGAGAGGGGTGCGGCAGGGTGCCAAACACCAGTGAACAGAGATACGGAAGGGGTAGTCAGGAAGAAAAAGAAACCTGCTGCTGCATTTATGTCCTGCACCCAGCCCCTCCAGTCCAGCAGTGCAGAACTGTTTCCACCCAGCCCCTCCAGCAGAGCGGGGTTCACCATGGAACAGCTTAGAAGGTCAACAGGGACAGTGAGACCCCCACCTCTGTCTTCCCCACCCCTCTTTGCCTGCAGCCCTGCACTGGGCCCACTCCCACCCCTACCCCAGCCCTGTCCCCATAACTCCTAGAAGACTGTGGGCCACACACAATGGCAATGCATGCGACTTGTGGCAGGCATACCACAGGTTAGTCACACCAGTAGTACACACACTTGAAGTTCCCGCAACTTATACGTTTCCTTGTGGTTTTATAGAATACTTAAGTTTAGCACTTCGTTAACCAGAAATAGCTGTTCAGATGTGATAGACAAAGAACGAGAGTTCAGAAAACACCATCTCATTTTGCTTTTCAGTTTCTAGCAAGCCCTTTGCTTTCTGTTCAGGGACCACCACAGGAAGTTTCTGTGCTTTTCTGGTGGTGTGCATGCTTGTACCCCTGGCTGTCTGCTGGGATGAAGTAGCACACTGCTCATCTGGGTTTGGGAATGACTACATGGAAAAGGATGCAGGGACAAATACCCTGAACATAAGAATATCCTGCTAGCTGGCCCCAGGAGCCTAAAGTGCCTGCCTGTTTCTCTAGGCTTTCCAGCACAAGCCTGAATTTTTTTTAAAGAGATCTATAATGCCATTTGGCGCTTCACTCTGAGAACTAGGAATCACTGCAGTCATAACAAAAAATTTCGTACTATTCCCAGTGTCTTAAGTACTCCTACATGCTTACATGGGGGAACCAGTACTTCTGTGCTTCTTGTGGGGACACAGACTGCTTGCACTGCTCCTTGCACTTTAATATGGAGCCACCCTTTTGAGAGGGTTGTGCAAGGAAAGAGGCCAATTCCTTTCTTGCACACTCTTTGGCCCCTACCTTCAGCAGAGCAAAGATCTGTGGCCTGAAAGCCTGACAGGAACTGTTACCATTACCCATCTGGCTAAAACAAGATTTTATTGAAGTAACAGGCGTTTTTGCTTGCCTGTATACGCTGCAGTGCTCCTGGGTATGAACATAAACTGCACCCGACTGCAGGGCTTGGTGGCAATGTGGTGGGGCTACTCAGGGGGGGCAGCTCCTATGAAATACCGCAATGTTGCAACATCCAAAGTAAGGTGAGCATAGGGCACCTCGATACCCTAGCTCCACTGCCTTGTGGGTACTCCTTGGTTGAAGAAAGGCTAAGGGACATCACCCTGACAGAAACGTGCCCTTGCTGAGGGGTCAGGTAGTCAGCAGCAGATCTAATCTGTTGCTGTCTGGCAAAAGCTACAACCATCGAGGCACTGAACGGCTGGACTTGGTCTGGCCTTTGGACTTTTTCTCAGTGGCCTAAAAGACGGATGGTAGGTCTAAGACAGCCTCCACTCCTCCATACTCTTGCCTAGGGGTATGTGCTGAAGGTCTTGGTGTGATGGTCACATAGACCTCTTACATGCACACCCATGATCCCAAGGACTGATGGCTGCCAAGACATGTTGCAAACATCTGCCCATTTTAGTTCAGGGGAAAATCCTTAGGACTGGAAGACAAAGCAGAAAGGGTGTAAAACCACTAATTTCCCCATCATTTCCTTTCTAACCATCACTTTCTTATTGTAAGGAGTGACCTAGAAACCACTATGCAAAGACCAAGCAGAAGAGAATGTTATGTGATGAATGCCCATCTGCAATGATAAGGAGGAGACAGTCTTAGATAAAGGAGGCTTGAAAACAAAATAAGAAACAGAGTACTGGGCTATAGGGCTCATTAAAATACTAAAAATCACATCCCTAGGTGGGGAAAAAGTATGCTAATGAAACACACATGTATGTAAATGAGATACATGGCTAAAACACAGGTATAGAGACATGCTCAGTAAAGAACTCCTTGCGTCACTCCTTTATAACCAATCAGCAAACAAGGATGCTTATGGAGGTTCAAAAACTCCTGTATAAAAGATGCTCAGAAATAGTAATCTAGTGTGCTTGTTACGTGAAATTATTCCGCTCGCACCTTTTATTGCTAGCAATAAACTTTCTTTGTACTTTCACCCCGGTATCTTTATTGGCCTTTGCATACCGGGCACGATCCCAGACTTGAGCTGGGGCTCAACATTATGAACAGGACGGGCTCAACAGTTTTTGGCCCCCCAGATGGGACTGCCTTAGATAAAGCTTTGCCCGGACTAACTGACGACCAGACGGCCACTCCTCCGAAGCGAATGTCAGGCGCGGCCCGGGATCTCTTTTCCCAGTGAGACTTTTGCTTCAGGGGGAGCTGGATCGCTGAGGCGGCAGTAGCCTAACGGTGCAAAGCCATAGAGTGAAAGTATCAGTAACAGGCACCTGGGTGAGAGGGTAGAAAGGGCATAAGGCCTACCGTCAGTACGCCTGCCTGGGATTAAGTATTCTGTCTGGCCCGAGTCCAAGATCAGTGATTTTTCCCCTGTGAGGACGAGGACTAAGAACAGATCCCTGGATCCCAGGTAAGTCGGACGGTCAGAACCGGGAAGGCAGCCCTGAGATGGGTACTATTAAATGTACCCCCCCCTCTTGTGTATTGGGACATCGGGCAGAGTTCGGTGGGGATCCTATGACTAAGAAGAAAGCTAAATTCTTCTGTGAAACTGCGTGGCCACGCTATAAGCTAGATGATCAAGAACATTGGCCTCCGGAGGGAAGTGTTAATTATAATACCATCTTACAATTGATTTTGTTCTGCCGGCAGAATGGTAAATGGGAGGAATTGATGTATGCGCAAGCGTTTATGTCTCTTTGTAGAAATAGAAAGGTTTTGGAGGAATGTGGACTGGGGGAGGGAGTTGGGGTCTGTGAGATGGCTGTGACTGGACCAACTGTAAATCCTGTCCTGGAC